GGATACTCAAAGAGTATCATTAAATTGAAATGGGGTTGACGGAAGTTCTGCAACATTGAACTCAGGAGGTAGATCAGGATCTTCATCTGGAAGGTTCTCGTCTGTTGTCAAATTTGAGTAAAAATCATGATACAGTGGATTAATTTGGTCAAGCAAACTTAACAAGTCCTTCTTCTTGGCTGAAGAAATAGGTGATGGTCTTCTGCTCTTCTGGAAAATTTCTATCTCAGGTAAATCTTCTTTCTTGTTTCTTTTCCAGTTCAGTTTGGCAAAGGGTTCTTCTTTATGAAGTGACTTCTTGTATTGGATAATTCCAGGACACTTTTTTTGAAAGCGGAACCACTCAGCATCACCGAACAGAAATGGATTCCCATCAGTATTTCTTTTTCTCCACACAAGAGGAGCCTCATTGCCTACAAGTGCTTTTTCAAAATTCCAGAAGTCAGTAAGTTTCATCTCTTTAACTTTGAATTTTTTGTTGGTAGGACCAACTTCACGCACAAGATCAAAGTAGTTCTGAGGGTGGTGCAGAGGAACATTGGTCTTCTTCTTTTTCTGTTCAATTTGATGATGGGCTTGATCGCATTCGAGATGTGTGTGCCCAGACACAAGGAATTTTTGGTCTATTGTTTCAACAGTTGGGTGATGCTGAACTGTGAATGACAAGGCAGTAATCATTAAACTATTTTTGTTTTGACCACTACATGTGTCTGAATACAAAATGACATGTTTGACAGTGCTTGGCAAAAATTCATTGAAATAACTCAAGAGGCATGAAGCAATCTCCTCTGCACCTCTACCAGCGATGGCCTCATGCCACATAAAATTGAAGGCTTCTTTAGTTTCTGTAGCAAATACAGTTAGATTATATACACTTAATTGACGAAGATAGAAAACATTGCCACTAGTTAGATAGGGGCATGGGAGCACTTGTTCTAAGTCAAAAACTATAGTTGAAATAGTTTTGTCAGAATTTATGGCTGAAAGTTTGTCTTCTTTTTTACAGTCATAGGCAAAGTCAGCTTCGCTTACATGAAGTTGTAACTGCTGTTGCAAAGTATCGGTTTCTTCGGTTGACTGAGCCGCCTTGATACCATTTTGCAGAGTGTCACATGTAACACAAGTGTCCACTTTTGGAGTCTTAAACTTCAGCCGGGGAGACATATTGTTAAATATTTCTAGGTACTTATTATAAGACAGTTTTGTACCACCTTCCTTTAAGTACATATTGTACATAATTGAAACATTTAAGTGTGAGCCAAGGTACAATTGCTCAGTGTGGCGTCTGCTGTAATGAGACACATATGCAGGGAATTTCTTGATATGTGCTTCTACCTCTTGCTTGACTTCATCAGGTATTTTGTTTGGTGGGGCATGTCTTCCTCTTCTATCATCTGGAACTTGAGCTGTAGTGCTTCGACGTTCCACTATGCCTCTCACAAATCTGTCATTTTCATCCAAAGTTGACAAAAAACATTCTTTGCTCAGTAAGAATCGTTTCTCATTATGAACCACAGAATACTCAAGGGTGCAAGTACGCTCTTTTTTGGGGCTCGATCTTACTTTTGTTGAGTTTTTCTCCTTCTTTAGGACTCTACTTGAAATGTACTGACATCTCTTATTATGAGATGAAAGCCCCCAATACTCAGAAAAAAGTTGTTGTCTATCTTCTTCGCTGAGAGAACCAATTTGACACCATTTTGCTTTGCATATTGGCAGAGGGCGACAAGATCGTTTCTTTACTACCTTCCCTGTTGTACCAACATACGTCTTCCCACAGTTGCGAAGTTTGGTCACTTCAGCTCTTGAGCGTCTTGTTGAGCATTTTTTTGCTACACCAGCAGGTTCTGTAGCAGGAGGTTCTGTAGCAGGAGGTTCTGTAGCAGGAGGTTCTGTAGCAGGAGGTTCTGTAGCAGGAGGTTCTGTAGCAGGAGGTTCTACAAAAAATTAAACAGAAAATAAACCTTTGCTGACTTTCCTAACATTTATTGTAAATTGTGTTAGATGTCATTGGTTGAAATGTTATAGAACAGGCTGGTTACTGTCCACAAAATGCTTCTAGAAGCTTACCTTCAGCAGCAGGGTTATTGGGATGAATTGGTTCAGAAGGGGTACCATCATTATCATGTTCATTTACAGCATCATCTGATTGATCGGACATGGGAGACAGAGGGCCCTTGCTCGTATTGGGTTCCCAAGTCTCATCCCCATCAGCATCAGATGCACCACAACCTTTGAATAATTCTTCCTCATCACCAGAGGCATCCTCACAATATGTCATTGCTTTTCTTTTTCTCAAATTCTTTCTTGTTCCTGTAAAATTAATGATAGAGATATGAAATAAAACAGAAAGAATGGAATTGAATGTCAGTCTTTACTTAAAGCTTGTCATGTTTACCTGCACCATGTAAATCTTCGGATGGGTTTGATTTTAACTCACAATCTGCAAAAATATCTGGGGTAGGCACTCTAACTTGTGTCTTTTCTGTCACATTTGTTGTCTCATTATCTGGCTGTATTTCAAGGGGGATTTTTTCTTTACCCAAATCTATAGAAATCACAAACAACAGAAAAGATGAAGGTTTTAAACATATTGCAATTAAGTTTTTGAGATTGTTGCTTGATAATAAGTACAAACCTTGCTCTTTGATATTTGTGCCTGTTTTGGTATCAGATTTTGAGGTACCATTGTCTTTAAACAAAACTGTAAACCATACAAAATAAAATATGATATTTTAAATATTTTGCACGTATCTTTCAGAGTCGAGTTGATTTCTGTTTGGTTACTTACCCTCTTTCACTTGGTTAAATGGTTTTGCAGGTAAAAGAGACTGTAAAACTGGTTTAGAAACAGCAGCAGGACAACAAGATCTTTTCTTTACCACCTTCCCTGGTGAACCAACATGCGCCTTCCCAGTGTTGCGACTAAGTATGGTCCTTTCAGTTTTGAAGCGTCTTGTTGAGCAATTCTTTGCCTTACTGGTTTCTTTCGCAGGTTCTGGAAAAAAAAATTATGACACACAAAATTAAATCTTCATTGTGACTGGAATATGTAAATAAGCACAAGTGAGAAAGGGTAGCTAGCTACAATCACTACTGGCTACATTTAGTTTTGTTTCTTTAGAATTGAATATGCATTTATCAAGAGTCATTTTAGGCATAACATATTTTTAATCAATCAATTGCCTACTGACTAGCAAGGGCCAGCATCTCTTTTGAAGATAGATTTATTGAATTTTTATTATTAGTTTTCCATCTCAGATAAAGCTCAGATCCCAACAAATGACATTTATTGTTAACTGTGTAAGCTGTCATAAGCAATTTAAAGATTTTGGTTTAAATGTTCAGCAGAAATTCACTGAGGAGTTGCTTACCAGATTATTGATTAAGAGCTTCAATTTTAATGACCCCACCTATTAAACTCATAAGAGATTAATATCCCTGACTAGTGTTATAGAACGGGCAGCTACCGCCCAAAAAACTTTTATAGAGCCTACCTTCGGCAGCAGGGATATTGGGATGAATTGATGCAGAATTCAAGCCATCATCACCATTTTCATTTACTTCATCATCTGATAGATCAGACATGGGAGACAGAGGACCTTTGCTCGTATCAGGTTCCAAAGCCTCATCCCTATCAGATGCTCCGCTGTGGTTGGCATCCTCATCCTCATCACCGGAGACATACTCAAAATATTTCATTGCTTTATTATTTCTGTTTCTCAAATGCTTTCTTGTTCCTGTAGAATGTAATGAAGAATTAAAAAATAAACCAGAAAGAATGGAATTGAATGGCAGTCTTTACTTACAGCTTGTCATATTTACCTGCACTATTTAAATCTTTGGATGGATTTGATTTCAACGTACTATCTGCAGTACACACTCCTCCAACTTGTGTCTTTTCTTTCACAGTAGTTGTCTCATTAACTGTCTGTATTTCTAGGTTTTTATTTTCTTTACCAAAATCTATAGAAAGTCAAACAACAGAGAAGAAAACAAATTGAAATCAAGTTTTCCATTTTCTTTAAAAAAAACTCTAAACCATGCAAAATAAAATATATCTCAAATATGTTGCACATTTTTCACAAGATGTCCTTAGCTGATGGTTGAGTTCTGATACCTACCTTGTTTCACTAGGTTCAATGGTTTTGCAGGTAAAAGAGACTGTGAAAATGATTTAGAAGCAGTAGAAGGTTTACCAGTAGCAATTTGCTGGCTACATAAACTGCTTTGTTTCCGAGGTGTCCTTGATTCCACACTTAATCCTAATAAAAAAATTAAGAATTAAAAACAAAACAGAAAAAATGAAATTGAATAGCAGTCATACTAGAATGGAGCTTGTTATTTACCTGCACCATTTACATCTTTGAATGGATTTGCTTTCAATACACAATCTGCCACAGCATCTGGGTTAGGCACTCTGACTTGTTCCTTTTCTTTAACATTAGTTGCTATAGTATGTGTCTTCTTTTTTAGGGGGGTATTTTCTTTACCTAAATCTATAAAGTACAAACAACAGAGAAGAAAATGTTGTAAGCAAATTGAAATCAAGTTCTTTGTGATATTGCCATGACAGTTGTAAGTACAAACCCTGCTTTTTTAAATTTGTGCCTCTTTTGGTATCAGATTTTGAGCAATCATTTTCTTTAAACAAAACTGTTAACATACAAAATAAAATATATATTTCAGATGTCACACATTTTCTTCACAGAGGCCTTAGTTCCTTAATTTCTGTTTGATTAACTTACCCTGTTTCACTCGGTTGAGTGGTTTATTCGCAGGTAAAATAAACTGTGGGTCTGGTTTAGAAGCAGCAGTATGTTTTAAAGTTGCAGAGCCCTGCTGGCTACATGACCTGCTTTGTTTCTGGGGTGTCCTTGATTCCACACTTATGCCTAATAAAAAATGAGAGAGATAGAATGCATCATTGTACCCTGTTGGTAAATTAATTCAATGTTTACAGAAAATATGTGCACTTACGACTGGATGCTGAGGTCAGGGATGGTGATATCGGATAGTCAACCAATGGCTTCCCTGGAAGAACACCACCTGCAGGGCTCGAAGGGACATTAACTTGGGAGTTTAGCCATCTTCTGGTCTTCTCCATTGCCTGTACCTGCGCAAGACCACGTATTCGAGCTTCAGTGAGAACACCTGTAAACAACAAAGGAGGAAACAAAATTTGTTTAGAAAAACAAACACTTTTTTGATGATGGGTTTTGTCTCGGTGAAGCCAGTTAGCTAAAAGCCACCGTGTCCTTTGTTTTGGACAATCTTATTCGCTGAAATCAGCTTGAAGCTAGCAGCTTCAGTTCTCATTCGACCTATCAGATTACCCAAAAGAAATGACGGGGTGGCTTCAGCTACACTGGCTTCACAGAGACTAAATTCATTATTACTCTGGACTTGATATAATTCCTTGAATACAAACCTGTCATCAGTTGATCCTCTGAATTTGACAGCGATGGGGCATTGGATTCACAGCAGCTTGGGAATGGGGCGATAGAATGTTCAGACGGGGCTTTGGATCCACACCTTGGGGGGGCGACAGACTGCTCAGATGGGGCATTGGACCGCTCGGGCTCGGACTCGGACTCACATATCTCATCAATCCCATCATCGACATCACCATCTGAAATAATAAATAAATGAGATCCTTCAAGAAAACAAGACAAACCATTGGGCTAACATTCTTCGAAAAGCGAATGGGGCCTGCTAACCTTTTTCCAGAGCCTTTTCCAGGATTTTCAGTGCTCTTTTGGAAGCCATTCTATTTAGAACACAAACATTTAGACCTTCAAAATTAATAAGAAACACTCCGTGAAACTGAACTTCGATCAAAACAAAAACAAAGTGACGACATACACACGCCCACTTGATAGCTGACCTAAAGCTACACTGTTGCCTCCACTATGTTCACTTATACCAACCCCCACCAACGAATTTCTCCTTGTCGATTTTATCACATTTTAATACAAAAATATGATGAAACCATTAAAAAAGAAACTAATTTTTAAAGAATAAAACCGAGATTGTACTTGAATCAATTTATTTATATGGCCGCTTATATAGGAGAATGATGACAGATTGCGAATCCGAAATCAGTGTTGGCTGAATAGCTGTCGATCCAAAAGGGCGGGAAAGAGAGAGGGATAGAGAGATAAAGTGAGTGAGACAGACGGTTGCAAACAGAAACACTTAAACTTAGTGGTGGTGATCAAAGAAAACAAACAATATGTCATCGCACGATAAATATTTTTTAAAATACCAAAAATCTAAGCAAGAGTGTAAGCGTCTCACTCTTGAGATAAAAAGAATGCAGACACTTATGGAAAGGTTAGTGGAAGCAGGTTCATCATCAGAGGGGCAAAAATGTATTGGCCTTAGTAGAAATTTTGCTATAAGCTAGAATCCAATAAAAATTTCATCTAAACCGTTCAGTGTTTTACAAGTTGTACTATGTTTTTGCAGTTGTCGTGTTCTGTTGCACAGCGGTCTGGAATGTGGAGAAACACTTCCTTCACGTAAGTTTGCTGTCCCTAGCTCGACTCTGTTTGATCCCTAGGAGCTGTTAAAAAGAGACCTGATTCTATCTTCTCATTTCTCTTCTTGGCAGCAATGGAAGCAGCGCAAAAGTCTCAAGCATCAAGAAGACTTTTTTATCCTTCTAGTGACAGCAGTGACAGTGAAGAAGTCCATACCTGCAAGTCGATGGAGCCAGGGGAGAACAAGTGGGAGTGCCTCTCTGAAGAAGAAAGGTAACTAAAGAAAAATAATGTTTTGCAAATTTCTTTCTAGTTTAGTGGCAAACTTTACTGTCAGTATAACATTTTGTATTATTCTGCAGACGCAAGCTAAGTGCTGAGTGGGATGAGCAGATTGATTCAAAATTTCGTACTTCTTCTCCTCTACCTTTGGTGGACACGGATATGACCCAATTTGATAATGCTGACAAAAATACTGCCGTAGCCGAAGACAACTCTCCCAAAAGGTGAGAATTAATGCGACTATTATCTGAGCTAATGTTGCTGTGAACCTTCGGACGGATAAATTACCAAACAAGACATGCAAACTAGTCATTGTTTTACGTAAAACCTAAATTAAATAATAAAGGAACTAGTTTCAGTTCTTAAAGTAGCAATGTCTGTCGACAAGTTTTGTGACTCTAGTGTATGGCTTGGGCACTTCTCTTTTCAGATTAAATGTTACCATACCCACCTCCTCTGAGAACACTGTTCCTATGCAAAGAAGTCAAAACAAGCGAAAAGCTTTATCTCCTATAGGGTAAGTTTCAAAATATTTATTTACTTATTAGTTATTAGAATCATCAGTAAGAATTTCAACACATTAATCAGGCTGTGAAACATTTGCCGAATTGTTATTGCTACTGCTAAAATTAATAGGACCCTTTTCATCAATGTTGACAGTCACGTATGCCCACTACCCCGTTGTCCTTTGCACCAGCCATTTTATGTATCAAGTGTAAGTTTCAATTTTACTATGATCAACTGTTTAACAAACTCAACCAAACAATCAATTAACTTTTTTTCTTCCCCAACAGAAAAGGGAATTGGCAAAGCTCTCCCCATGCTCACGTCGAATGGCCACTTCTACACATGTGAAAACACCTCCAGGTGTGTACAATTCACTACATTCAGTGCACATACGCAAAGTAATGTATCATCTAATTCAAAATTTCTTTTCAGGATATTTTGGTCTTGACTTCCCATCAACACAATACATCAGAACAAGAAATCAATCTAGTGAATTGTAGATTTGTAAATTATAGTTACTATAGTTTTCAGCATCTGTGTGTGTAATATGATATTTGAAACAGATGCTGCTGCTTAAATATGTATTTATGTCTTAACTGTTTTAAGAATCTTTTATTCAAGTCTGACTAGTTGTC